TGTTTTTTCACAGTCAGTGTCATTTCAGCTCGGCACTCTGCGCTCAGCTCAGCGTTATCTCTGTTTTATTACTGTGAAGTTGGTTTTTTATTTTGTATCCAACATATTCCTGAGCACTGCGTATTTAATGAGCATAAGTTGCTAGATGGAGACAAATAAAATGTATTATATTGTGGTAGATAAGAAGTTTCAAACAAAAGAAGCTTTTGCACGTTCAACATAATTTAAAGGTTAAGGTGTGTTCTTACTTTGGAATGAATTTACACTAAAATTCTGAAAAAAGAATTGATATATAAATGTATTCAATTTATAATAAATTCTCTCTTTATCATAGAAATGTCTTTAAAACTTTATTAACTTTTTTTTTACTTTATTAACATCTTTTGTAACAAAAAAATGCAGAAGATAACAGAAACCAAATGTGTTATTATCTCTTATACCTTTTAAACTTCTTCAGTTTAAATGGGAAATGCAACCATCAGATACAACAGCATTTCAAAGTCTGTGTTTATTCAGTGTCTTTACAAAAAAGTACAGAAGTCATTTTAGTCTTTTTGTTCAGAAAATGAGTTTGGTTGTCACTTTGAATTGATCCCCGTCGGCCTCGGGAAGCCTGGGAGCCACCCCGATGTTGGTGTGGAGAGCTGCCAACTGTGGGTGCAGCAGATACCTCTGAATGATGAACTCTCAAGCCCTTGTTAGTTTTTCTAATGGGTACTAATTTTAGGTAGAGGAAAACACTGTGTGTGTGTGTGTGTGTGTGTACACACTTGTGTTGGCATTGCACTGATAGCGAGAGCTGAGTGGAGGCAGAAGGAAAATTGTTTGACAAAATAATCTTAACTTATGATCAACATAATGATATTTTTGTGGGACTTTGAACTCAATCTCATGGTTGTACTCAGGAAATGAAGTTTAACCTTCTAAAAATTAATTTGCTAAGGCTGTGACATTGAAAGTCCTGGAAACTCTACTTCTAAAATTCTAGAATGTATCTTTATGCTCAAATATGAGAAACAGTTTGAATTAATTTATTTGCCAATTGTATAATCTTTTATTCACAAAACTTACAGCAAATATTTTAGATCCAAGGAAGTGACAATGGGCTTTAAGACAAGTCATCATAGAAAACATCCACATAAAACACTTACCGGCCTAATAAGGATTTGGTAAGATGTGTTTTCATTTTGCCTTACAGTAGTTGCAAGTAGTGTATATTGAAAATGTTAATGAAACCATCACAGTCTGCACAAATGTATTCAAAATTTATGGAAGCTCAGTCTGTTTCATTGAATGAGCGACATTTCTGATGTGAAACTAATTGTGGTTGTGGTTTCCATAGCCGGTGTTGTGTTGCTTCATGCTCTTGGAGTTGGACATGGGTGCCCTGCTGTGAAGGTCACAGAGAGGTCAGCGAGGGCATGACCGCTTCACCCACCACCATATGACCACTGACCACTGCTAACCTGACTGTTGTAAACACTAAAACTAAAAGAAACTTTCTTTAAATTTAGAGTATTGTTTGGACGTTTGGACTTATTGTCTCTCTGTGTCTCTCCTCTTGGTGTGTGAATGTCTTTCTTTGGTTCTGCTTCATCTCTCCTTAAGCTACCCCCACACCCCTCCCTCTTCCAAAAAAGCACTCCTTGAGTTAAAATCAAAGCATTCAGTCAACTTATCAACATCCACAGAAGCAAATTGATTTGTTGGATCTCATTCAGTTTGACCACATGCAGTCACCTGAGATTAAGTCATCGACACTCAGTAGCTGCCAAACGTATTTCTGCTTTATTTCTTACTCTGGATTGGTTTCTCAGGTCATGACCTCAGAGGGTGACCAAAGGAGCTCCGGGGTACCCCCTTGCTGGCCGTATGCTGGCCTCTGGACATAGCTAAATACAGAAGAGCTGCCATCATCTCATCAGACAATAGAGCGAACATACCATGCTTGCCCCTCATGAGTCTAGCCAAGCGCACAGGGAGCACATTAGGACCTCTGGGCTTTATTTACCCTTTCTTTCTGGCCTTGCAAAGAGTCGACTGGGGCGTCAAGTTTGTCAGGTGCCTCAGCTGTGACCGTCTGACCACATCGCACACACAGCCTTTAAGGTTGCCAAAGAGTTTCATGTTGCATTCTCCTGACTCACCTTGTCGGTTTTCATATCCTCCACTTGCCACTGAAGCGTTATGTTCAAGAGAGATGTCTAGCAGGAATAGACCAGCCCTGAACACAATTTCAAGTCTTTTTTAAAGAAACCTTGACATGTGAATGCAGTCTCACAAGCATGAGAGTGACTGAAGCTGAAAGGATAGCTCTCAGTCCTCACTGAATTCCAAGGTGGAAGCACCACTGTTTCTGCAGATCTTACACTCTATATGCACTTTAAAATGTGAATCAGCCCTAAAATCTTTAAGGGTTAGTTCACCAAAATGTAAAAAATGATAGTAAATGATAAAACAAAGCATATTTACCAAAGCATAACACTAACCCCTAGTGGTATCCACCCAGTCGGACAGTTTTTGGTTTTATTTGCTCATGTTGTGACCAGATACCTTCTACTTTTACTTTATTAGCACTCTAAGTAAAATTACTCTATTAAAGTACTGTTGACATACATTATAAATCATAACTTGTGGCATCATTATTACTGTTGTTTTCACATATAGAGTATGTTAATGGAGGTAAATTTAACTGTGTTTTGCACTAATGGGGGGTATATATGTTTAAATGTATTTCATGTTTTAACCATGTTTTAAAGTAACTAGTAACTTCACTTGTCAAGTTGAATATTTCTCTCTGAAATGTAGTGGAGTAGAAGTTTAAAGTAGTTTATAATAGAAATACTCAGGTAAAGTACCATAAATGAGTATGTAGTTGCTGTCCGCCACTGGGATATCCGCTTGCGTCCCAGTACAATGGAGCCGAATGAAAAATAGTATTCAAAAACAACATCTCTGACCAAAATCAATGTCCCTGTTAGTCAGGATAATTAATAGACATTAGCCGTTGTCGCAGGGAGTATTTCATTACACTGTTTTAAATTTAGAAGTTACTCCTTCATTTTGGAGCCATTTTTGTAAAGAGCCACTGGATTATTTTGGTTCTCATAGAACAAGACAGATAATTTATGAGTTAATATCGACTACATACACATACTTTGTGTTTATGGTGACTTAATGACCGTCAGACGCCACCCTGATGCAGGCAACAAAACTGAAAAGATTTGGCGACTAAACACTGGTCTACTGTTGTAGTGTGTTTTTGTCTTGTTGCAATTTAATTTCTCAAAAGTTAGAAATTGCTGAGAGCAAAGAATCAGAGTCATAAAATCCCAAGAATAGCTAAATATTGCAAGAAGTTTTTAAACTGTATTTTGACTCAATTATTCTAAATGTAAAGGAGTGCAAAATTTGGAAAATATCTTTATCAGTGGGTTCTTTCAAAAATGAATAATTTATTGATGTTGTCAGACGTAATGCTATTGCATAATCAGACTTAATGCTATTAGTCTTTACAAAAAGGCCTTGAAACATATATTATGCCACTCTATTGGAGACGTCTTGTGAAATTACTCACATGAGGTTATATTTGCCTCCTCTTTTACACATACTCCCTTTATAAACACACACAGGAACTGGACTGTATGACTGTCTTTGTCTAACTACCATGCAAAATTACCTGATTTACAATGTCACACTGTCTGTGCTCGTGACAAAAGTGTCCCTTGTTGAGAGATGGTAGAACCAAACCCACCCTCGTGAAACTCTCAGCACTGTTCTAAACTATACTTTCTTATTCTTTTGTCCCCCCCCCCCAAAAAAAAACAAAGAACTGCTCCTTCTCCTGCCAAATGATCCCTTAATTGTGCAAGTTAACAAACTTGCTCTTTTTATTCTCATGAATAACAAAAAGTTTGTTCTAGTTTTGTTTCTTTTTGTTTGTTCTTTTTCTGTTTCTTTTACTCAGAGCTGCTTTCTACTGTGTCGCTGCACACTTGTTGGGCTGTTCTCCTCCATATTTCTTAGGTTGTCTGTGGTGGTGACTATGCTGTACAAGAAAGAACTTTACAAAGCAACAGAAACAGACAACTAGAAAAGTGTGGGTGTGGCTGATATGATGGTCCACAGTGGTTTGTACAGGAATATGTTTTCATTTATATCTGAGGTGACTTTGACCCTTCCCTGCTCTCCCTCCTTTAAATCACTGCCTTTTTTTTTTATCAGGTTCTGTTCATTTTTGGCTCAAATATCTTTGCTTTAAATGGAGGTTGTGTTGAATAGGACATCTCCATGGATTTGCATAATCTGATGGCATTGCTGGTGAGAGCACAGAGGGTTGTGCCAAGTTCGAAAAGGTGAAGCCTTCATCCCTTGGCAGGTGGCAGAGGCGGCCATAGAAACTCCTCCTACAGTAAAATGTCCGGTTATAAATTTGGTTTTACCTTATTGTTTTAAGAGGAAACACAAAACATCTGTCTAGAAATGTACAAGTGTCTCTTCAGAAACATCTTCCTCATCATCAAATCAGATATTGCGACTATTTACACCCTGTGTCGGCTCTCATCAGAATCACTCCCAGACAGTCGCAAGGCATTGATATGTGCTGATGTTTTTGTTCTTCCAACAGACTCCATTCATGTCTGCCCCCTTCTTACAGTGCCCGTCATGCTTCAGACGTCGCTGGTGCCAAGGCAGTAGGAAGGCTGCCTCTCTCTGATGGGAAACTGTTGCTCATGTGCTGGGTTGGCTGCCAAGTTTTGGCATTATTGGTGAGGGGAGTGGGGAGGTAGGGGGAGGAGGAGAGAGGAGTGTATGTGTGGGGTGGGGGGGGGGTACAGAAAGGGGACCCTTTAAACCCTGTGAGATAGTGGTATCTGCTGTGGGAATGATCTTCATCTCCTCCCCCCTTAACATTCTCACTGTTTCTCTTGCTCTCTTCTTTCTCTCTGTCTCCCCCATCCTCCCCCCTTGCTCTCTGTCTCTGTCTTTTCATGCTGTAGATCAGACGACCATCCTGAGGTGAGCCGGCAGAGATCCGATGCCACTGGAGCACTTTGATTACCCACCAGACTGACTGGCTGTTGGATTTCTCACAGCTTGCGTACTTCTTTGGCTTTGCTCCCAAAGCACGACTGTGACACACACACACACACACACACACAGAGAGGCAACAGAAACACACTACTTCGTGCTAAAGGAAAGAAGATTTGCTTGTTGTACTCTCAGAAGCTTAGCTAACCGTCTAAGCCTGACTTCAGCACTCATACAGGTGCAAAGGACAAAGCAGGAGCTTTGAGACACTTACAGGGCAGAGCAGTACTTACTGGTCGCTCTTTAGGCTTTAGCAGTGGCTCCCAACGTTTTTGGTTTGTGACTCCTTACGAGAATAGATCAACCTTTTGGGAAATACACATCTTCACTTTCTTGCTTCATATTTAAGGGGCACGTATGAGAATGATATTCATCTTCTCACCAAACTCTCAGTAAGAAAGTCAATGAGGAAAATGCATTCCCCCAAAATGTTCAACTATTCCTCTAAAATGAAAAGCCATCTGCTCGTGAACCCTCGTCACTGGTCATGACCTCAATGTGGACGTGAGTAAGGAGCATTTTCCTTCTCAAACTGTCTCATTTGAAGGCTTTGGAGAGGTCAAAGTTTCTAATCTTTGACATAAAAAAATGGAAATTAGATTGAACAGAAAACTTGTCAATGTAGTGTCCATGGTCTAGTGATGAAGTTCCAATTATGGCTCTTTTTTTCCTCAAAAGAGTGGATTGTTAATGTGATATTAATGCGAACTGAAGCTTTACCGCTGCGGCTCAGTTTACATGACAATAAATGGTTCGGAGTCCTTTTTATCCCTGCTCAATTTATTATTATTCATGTGATGTGCTGCAGCTAAATCTTTCTCATCTGGCTGCACATGAGTCTTTTCTGTCCTGCTCAGAGTCAGGATTTAAACCAATATTGGGGCTGTAGGGATCCAAGTATTTCTTTCAAAGCCTTTTCTCTTTTACCGTATTGTCACTTTTCTGTCTGCGTGATCACTATCTTTCATTTCTTTCATTTGCTCTCTTGTTGCTTGTCTTTTTGGTCAGAGGCTGGTTAATGTGGGTTTACCCAACCACCCAAGCGATTAATGTGGGCTTATCCATGCATTTGTCATCTACCCATCCATCCAGAAATGATTTTTGCATCCACCCTCTCTGTCCTGCATGTAAGCATTCATACCTATATACACCTACAATACAGTGGGCTTTTTGTGTTTTGGTACTATGGCCTAAATTAGCACAGGAGAGAGATCTGTAAAGTGATTTCAGCATTGCCTCTGAAGAGAAACTGAGAAAAAAAGGTGTCTTCTTGGATCCCTCTCAGACAGAAACTTTGATTTCATGGTGTTGATTATTTTTCTTCGCAATCACTCAAGGATGAAGCAGAAGGACGCAGAGATTGTTCCCTTTTCAGATGCCCCGCAATGGGACTCCTTGGTAAAAAAACAAAAAAAAAAAACCAAAAGAAACAACAAGGAGTTTCCCCCCTTCTCTTTCTTTTCTTTTTTTTCACAATCCAACACTATACAACTTACTTAAAGAAAGACAGAAGGGGCTTGAAGCAGCCATGAGCTTAAAAACTGTTCTCTTTTGAGTCCTAATTCTGTAGGATGCAAAGAGTCTTTAACTGGTACCAATATGGCTGTCTGTCACTAAGTAAGAAAAACATTTGAAAGCTTTAGAAGCAGGTTAATTTGTTTTCACAGGGTTGTAATGATTCCTGGCAATGTAGTGCTGTTCTGATCCACGTTTGACTTAAGAAAAGTTTAAATTTTTTATGTAAATGAAAACCTAATTTTAACCAGGGTGATTCTCTTCTTCCTGCACAACAACCCTTTTTAATCCTGATCTATTTAATCCAGTTGCCTAAATGTATGGAAAGAGTAAAACATGGATGATGTTCTATCCTGTTGTGATACTTTCTTCTATAACTCCTTGAGATCTTGGAAATTCAACTCTTTAAACAAAACATCTTTGCTTTCCTTCATTATAAAACTGTGTACATTGAAAAACACCTTTGTCTCAACATTTTACTGATGTTTTACTCTTTACAAGGTGCAGAGATCTTCTTGAATTCAGTATTAATTCACCATGTAGTGCTGTGTGAATCAATGGATTTGCTAAGTGCAAGTTTATTTAAGTCAAAGGCAAGTGGCCCAGTGGAATCAGGCCCATGTCTGCCCCCACCTGTGACACCTGCTAACCCCATAGATGAACTGTTAAAAAGCCTTTCTGCACACCAGACAGAAGTTATACAGTATAGTGTTTTCACTAAAGCTGATAGTACTGTATGCACCAAAGAGTAAGCCTTTTGGAGCTTTATTTTACAAAGTTTGAGCTCTGTTTCCTTTGCCCAAGTGATCCACTTTACTATTAAAACTCACCCAGTGTTATTTACAAAGAAACATTTGTTTCACTTTTCTTGTTGGTAGCTCGTTGTTGTACACTTCTGCTCAACAATCATGTAGGACAACATCACCAATAACTGACTATTTACTTGACAGTGTTTTCTCTCTTGTCTCGTTTTTAAACACGTTATTGCCAGTGGGCACTGAGATTGTCATTTAACCTAAAATTTGGGTGACTGATGACAAACAGGCTGAATGTTACTCCGAAATATTTATTCACAACATGTACATGATCTATTTCATCATTTACAAATACATAAATACAAGCAACATTAAAACATAGCAGGAATATTTACATGGCGTGTTGCGCACTGTGCAAACTAAATGTATTTGTGTGCGTGTGACCAATGAAGTTGAAATAGTGGTGATCGAGACCCTGCACCGGTGACAAGTATCCACCGTGCTGTTGTGTGTGCGCAGAGAGTGGGTACGAGATGCCCGGGCTGCGGGCCGAGCTGTGCCAAGATAAATGTCCCGGTGGACTCTGCTGGTACACGGAGTCCGAGGGACTGTGGCTTTGGTGCTCCGGAGAGGAGTGCAGCTGGCTGAAGTAGTCGGGCGGTTCTGGCATCGAGCCGACGGAGCCGAACACAGGCTCGGTGACCACACGGGACTTGGACTGTAAGAAGGCGAGGATCCGTGCGTACTTGATGCCTTTGGTTTCAGCTCTGTCCTCAGTGGTCAAGTAATGCACAAGGTTTTTCATACACTCGTGGTATCCATAGTGGAAGTAGTTTGCAAACTCAGCAAGAAGTTCACCTAGAATGAATCAAAGTAAACAGCGATTACAGCCCTGTGGGTGTTTGAACAAGTCTGACGCAGAGTGTTTGTCGTGGTCTTATTCCGGTACGTAAAGCTGAAGTTGCATCAAAATGTCAAAATAAATGATGAAGTAATAATATAACATAACAAATATGTTAAGAACTTATCTGCCGTCAGCCTATAAACACTGTATTTGTTTTTGCTGACAGAGCACTGGCGATGGGATGCGCAAAGCTGTGCAAAACGTTTAATGACCTTTTTCTCTCCCACGGGGGAAATCCGCTGAGTGGAGCGCTCGAAGATACTGAACCGTCATTTCCAAGATTTCAGCTTTCTCCAGTTTGCCAGAGTTCTAGAAAGACATAAAGACCTTAACATTATAAAATGCTTAACTGCAGATATTAATAAACATGACTAGAATCGCTGCTTTAAAACGCTGATAAACAGGTTTTGGCAAAATGAATAATTTTTATAAAGTATAGTAAATCACATTACAAATGTTACAATACCTGTTTTGCCAGTGCCATTGGCACCGTCTTTCCTAGTTCGTTTAGACATCGATTAATGCGGTCCCGTCTCCGTTTCTCAATGACTTTGTGAGAGATGGGAGTTCTCTGTAAAAACAGTGAGAGACAACATGAGCGCACGGAATCGCTGCAGTATATTTTCTTACAGATACTTTATCAGCCAAAATATCCGAAAGAAAACTGAAATGACATATTAGTTAGGAACTACTGTGGAAATGTGTTTAGGAGGTTTGTAGCCTACGGTCATTTTTGGAGAGATTTGCGCGCCGCGCGCCCTGTTGGGCTAGAGCGCGCAGCAGACATCTGCGGTCCGGATAGTTGGTATAAACGTGGAGCCCCACTGAACACGGTTAACATGTCGTTTGGCGAGTTTAAAACGTTGCAGGAGTTTTCGACGTAATTATTTACATTATGGTCGCCAAATGTAACATAACTGTCAGATGGGCTCTTTACATCTTCAGCGCGCAGTAGTTGTCCTGTAACGCGTGCCCACACGTGGATGCACTGTAGGTTTCTATTCCTTAGCGTGAACATTACTCCAAATAGTAGTTAAACAACGTTCGATGCAAATACTAAAGTGCAAAACTCCAAAAGATAACTCAAGGATGATAAAAGTATTATGTTGCCAAAATATTTCAGCCAACAAAATGCAGAGCGCACATGGAGCGCATACCTTCCTGTCTTTCATTTTAGATGCCATCGACGATTTTCTGAAAAACCTCTTTAAAATAAGTTCAGCGGAAAGATGGAGAGATGGGTTACTTTGGCAGGAGATGAAGCAGACTGGGGTTGGAGGGGAAAGCTGGCCCTTATAAAGGGATCATCTAAGAGACTCTGTCATTCATGGCGTAAATTATTCCATGGTCCAAGCATTGCTTAAATGTGTGCATTTAGGATCATTTGAAGAAATAGTAAGACTCTAAACCCATGGGCTAGCAGGGGGGCAAACCTGCTTTGTTAATCCACGTGGCTGCTTAAAAGACACGTGATTACTTTCGGAATATTATTTGCATAGTAACAACCCAGGCGGGAAATAAGAACTGAGCGTTGGACTCGCCTGATCCTGCGGGTCGCACTGTGCGCACTGAAAACAAAGCAGGCGAAAGAAGAAATCCTCCTTCCTCCAACTTGCGTTTCTCACACGATCGCCTGTTTACAAATCCCAGCAAGCGATCTTAACACTCATCCAAGCTCGGTCCGAGTTTTAAGGCCTGTCCACTATCATTAAAGTAATTAAGTAAGCCTTTAATAGGCTGTTCCGCCAAGTTCATGGGACATCTTTTGGAAACGGAATCCCCCCCATTTGTTCCCGGCGTTTCTCACACGACTTGGTGACACGTCCATTTTTTATGAGAGATGGCAAGCTTTTTGTTTACATTCTTTATTTTGTTGAACTCCTCGGCAGGTGTGTGATTAGCCCTGGCACACGAGCGTCGTCTGCGTCGAGGCCAGCGTCTCCAGCAGCCTCTGGCACACGAGGGTTACCCACCACTGGAGACTCTTTGGAGAGGCTCAATTTGTATCCCATTATCCTATAAGAAAATGTCTATTCAGTCGAATGAATAGTTTCATTGGCCCAAATTTTAATGCTGTGAAAGAAAGGGAGAAATAAAGAAGAATGCAGCTGGTGTGAACGCGCATTATTCCCCGTCACCTGCAAGATGGGTAGCCTGGAGACCCCTATTCATTTGCCTAATTTCGGTCAACTTAACAAACTTTGGGAGAAATTATGCTGCCATTGTTATGAAGGATGAAGCTTTCTGATCGAATTAACAGCATGTTTTGATCCGGTAAATGTCATTAGAAAGAAAGAAACAATCGCGTTTAAAGCGGCCTGGGTAATGCGCCAAGTGGAGACGCCAAAGCGCAAACTGCACAAAGGGTGCTAGTAAATGCCACAGGGGACTTTTGTACCCTCACATTGCTGAAGTTTTACTCCCCAAACAAAAGGCATTATTTTATACTTGAATACATTTCGTACAACAATTGGCTGTTTTCTTCAAACATAGTTTCACAGCAAGGTTAACAACAGGTTTATTGTGTGCGCCCCTTCTCACATATTCAAACTACCCTCATGCGCCAAAACAGTTTGCTCCAATTCTTCTTTTTTTTTTTACTGAGAACGTTTTAATCTCGAAACGTTCGCCGTGCTTGGATATATCTGATCCTGTGAGCGCTGTCGAAGAATAAAAAGCGGCGGAGATTCAGAAAGAAAAGCTCACAAGACATCTGAAGCGTTTTGGAGAGTTTTTGAGCACCATGGAAGAAAGGCGCGAGCGACCGGTCCGGGGGCAGAAAATCCAATTACTTGACTGTGCAGTTTTTAACACTTTGTGTGCGTTTGTCCTTTGAAATATGGAGGGACTTGTGTGCTGTTGCTTTTTTAAATAACCGAGTTAAAAACTGGAAGTTTTTAGTGCCTATGTAACAAGTGTTGCGCCAGAACGAAACAAAGTGACGCGTCAGGATTAGTCCTCGTAACATCTTGTGCTCTTTTTGATGCGAAATGTGTATTTCTGAATAAACATTGAATATGTTTCCATTCATAAGCTCTTCTTAGCACAGGTTTGTCAAATAACGCCGTTTCCATCTTTTTGTTTTACCACATTTTTCATTTTATACATTTTGCAAACCTTTATAACTTGGTGCCATTTGATTTAACAACTTTCTTGTGTAGGGGTAGTTGCTTAAAGACTTAGATTAAATCCTCAGATTTGTTAGAATTATCCAGAGTGTGTATAGAGTAAAGAGGAACAAACATTCTGAAATGATTTTGAAAGTATGACAACATTTCCAACTATTATGCTCCTGTAGACATTAATGTGCAGTAGGTACAAGGGTCACTGCTGGACACTAAACCTGATACGAAAGGTTTCTGTCTGACATAGCTAATTATTTGGGATGAAATTCAGAACTCACATAATAAAATGTACTGTATATTTGCTACAATATGGTGATTGGAACATAAAAACCAGCATTAAGGCTACAGTGCTGATTTAGGAGTCCATATAAATAGTGTATGCTTATTTTTCTTGCACATAGATCTGCTGCTGTTCATAATCAGCATATAAATCCCTTCTGTCTTTATTCCATTACAAATCCATACATTTTCAGCTGGTTCCATTGTTGTGTATGATGTCATATAGGTTCATATTCTTCACAATAAAATACAGCAGCACTAAAGGCTTTGTTAAAATCATTGTTTGATTTATTTTTCATGCAACCATAAAATAAAGACATTTACATTATTCTGAAAATGATTTAGATGTGTTAACAGTAACAATAGATTGAAATCAATCACGTGGCACACAACAATGAACAGTCAGGTTGCAATTTAAAAGTGTGTTATTTATTCAATATTTGCAATACCAGTACAAATATGTTAGTAAGGACTAGATTAATGTGCATGTTTTATTGTTCTAAAACAGTCTTACTGTCAGCCTATGAGTTTCCTTTCATCTCCAGTGGTTATCAGTAGGCCCATAGCATCTGTACAACAGTTCTTTACATTAGAACGTCCACCCATGAAGCCTAATTTGTAACAGCAGCTCTGCATGGACTCAGTGTTGTCAGGCGGGGTGCTCTGACCCGTGGTGACCTCTACGGTCTCCAACACAATCCTTTGGCTTGGTGCGCCACCCTCAGCCTGAACTGCAGCAGTTCACACTCTCTGCAATGGAAATGATTTCAGACTACATAGTTCGGCGTCTACAGGCTCTTTTGAAAAACAAACTGCAGCTATTTTAAGCCAATGTTTTAGCGAATAAAGCTCATACATGTGTTTTAGATTCACACCATGAAATTTGAAGTTATATTAGGCCACAGTTTCACAGTGACTGTCTAGAAGGTAAGCGATGACTCCTTTAGCAAGAACGAACTTATTAAAGACTAAAGACACTGGAATAATGATTCACCATATCAAACACCAACAGAAGCTCTTTAAAAAATTTTTTATTTAAACAGGTGGAAACAATGTCAATTCTTGAGGTTTGTGCTCAACCTCAAGGACGAACATCATCTGCGCCCTCTTGTGGTCTATTTTGGAAACTGCAGTAGGCAAATAATATTGATGCAGATTTTACAGAGCATGATTCTTCCAGAGAGCTGAAGTTATATTACTATACCATAAACTGACGGTCATATGGTCACAGTATCAGGAACACTTAAACATGTTAAACCTAGTCATGACTTGTAGTTTATGTCAGCCTAGATGAAAATGAGTGTAAGGAGCAAGTTTATCTGCCTCCACTTCACTGCAGAATGTGGCACGCCTCTCACTAACGTGTGAGTGTGTGTGAGTGTGTGAACCACAGTGAAAGGAGAAGTACTCCGATGCTTGAGTAAACATACCACTTCAACAATTCAAAAAGAAGAAAGTGAAACTCAATTACAAGGCAGATGTAAAATGTAAATTTAATACAGTATTATCGGCAACATTTATTAATAGAAACATTGCCCCTGTTTAACGATTTATTGTTTTATTATTACTTTATTTTATTATTAATTTGAATACGGTAATTATAAGCATTTTGCCACTGTTTACCACAAAGAGCAGAATGCTGTGAGCCTTTGATGGAGCCCAAGCTCCAACATTCCATAATATCCAAATTAGTAAGTAAACCCCAAGATTAATAGACCTACTTCTGATCTGTTGTATCTGTACTTGTACTTACATAAAATGTTTGAATACATTTTTCACTACTGATTAAAAAAAATCTTATTTTCTTAAAACAAGTGAAAAAAATTGTTAGTGAAGTTTTAATTCAGATGAATCTGTATAAAAAACTGACTAAATCAGAAAACATATAGCTGCAATACAGAGTAATACAAAATGAAATCCGAAATCGGTATTTTCTGGATTATTTTATAAAAGTAAATGACATTTACTTAATAATCTAAATGAAGAGGAGGCGAAAGTATACGCTTTCCTCTTGGTAACGAATGTTGTAGGCTATAAAGTAGCATAAATGGAAATACTCAAGTAAAGTACAACACTTCAAAATTGCACTTAATTACAGTAGACTTGAGTAAATGTTCTCAGTTACTTTCCGCCACTGAATGTGTGCGTTTATCTGTAAAATGTGTAATCAACAGGTGGTTGTAGCCTGTGTGGTTTGGGCAATATGCACACTTCTTTGCCATGACATGTTGACCAATGACAGCACGCCTCTCAAACTTTAGGTAAAGCACCGCCGTCTCTGATTGGCTGAGGGCTGCACGAAATACAAACCGTGGACGTTGTTGTTACTGCTTCGACAATCAAGTTGAAGTTTCCGAATCTTCTGCTACACACACAGGTCAGTGGAAGCACTCGCCATTAAAAACAAAACCAAATATCCATTTGTTTGTCAGTATTGACAGGTGTTTGTTTAGTTGTTTAGCCCTGAGACACAAGCTGCGTTTCGCATTTTTTTTTGGGGGGGGTTAAAATATAGAATGAACTAAAGCCACGTGCTGTTTTCTTTTCCCAAATCAAATCTTCATTTCCGATTATCCTAAAATGTTCACGTCGATAGTATGTTTAATCTGTGGGATGCCTTTAATCAGAATTCAGTGCTCGCCCTTTATCTGTCGGCGTGTGCGTGTAGCGTTACAGGACGAAGCTGCGTTAAGAACAGAGATGGACACGTTGCATCGCGGCTGATTGTCCGTGTGTAAAACGATAGGCCTGCTTTGTTTGGCAGATCTAGTTAAATCTCCACAGTACTTTACTTTGGCTTTGTGAAAAACTCTTCTCCTCAAGCTTTGAGTTGTGTGAATGTGAAGTCTGCATTTCTTTAAGCAACTGTTAGTTTATGAAAGCATAGAACTTTATAACTAATCTTTTAAGTTGGACTAATCTGAAAAATATCTTCATTATGTTGGTATTATTTTACTGGCAAAACTTTCTGCAAGAAGCAAAAAGCTGTATCTCTCAACCTGCTGGAATTTCTTTAAAAAGAAAAGAAATCTCCTTGTGACTCCTCATCAGTGGAAAGGTTGTCCTTATCGCATCGGCTTGGTTGAAGGGTTTTCAGAGCCTGGAGGTGAAAGTATCCTATGGATTTGAGTTTTTTAGGGTGTCATCAGTAGAGAAGTCAGAGGAAACGAAATGAGGAAGGACATACAACAAATATCTTTGGCATATCTGCACCAAAAGTTCTTGTTATTGTTTGGCATCTTGACTTTTTAACTTATCTGCAGTATTTCTCAAGCAGTATACCAGCTCAAATCTTTACTTAAGATATTCTCTGCACCAATAATATATTGTTGACAAAAATTAATTAGTTGCACAACTCGAGTACATTCCACTAATTCAGGTTTTTAGATGAATGGAAACAAATAGCTGCTTGAACAGTAGGACTAGTGCATTAAAATGTTTGATTGACAGATGTGAACTTTGCATATACACTATACATATTGTAGTCAACTTGCAAACGTGGTACGTTATAGAAGCAGCAGCCATTGGGGCAAAGGCCGGACTGCTTCTGTTTCCTGTCGGAGACAGCTGAAGCTTTCAGGGTGGAAGTGACAGACAGATGGTGGTCAGACACTTCCTGTGTCATGAAGTCAAGTGTAGGAGCCCCGACCTGCTCTGTAGTTTCAAAATGAGATTATAACTGAACATTTGAGGTAGTTGGCATGTACTGTATGTGTTGGTGGTGGCTAACGCTACATGGTTTTGGGAAGTTTAGATGTGTGCTTGGCACTGAAGGCATGTTTGGCAGTGGAGTGTAGTTGTGGTTTGTCATTTCCCTCAAATTTAAATGGCATTTAAAAAATAATAAATAATAAAGTGACCATGTAGAGTCATTTGTATGTGTTTGCCCTTTAGCATAGGAGTATCTTTCAGAAGTGGAAAGTGAGTGTGGTTTTTGATTCTGTTTGTTGACCACCGCCCTGTCGTCTTTGCTTTTGTCATTTGATAATATCACTATCAACCTCTGTCTGTTTTGGGTGTGATAGCTTGCAAACGACGTGGCTAGTTGATGTTTACACAACAGCCAGGAGCGCCTTTTAAAAAGGCAGGAATTTTAGCTCCAGGCAAGATTCAGAAAAACCACCTTCATTAACTTGACATTAATAACAGTTTAAATTGACTTTATAAAAGAATCCTGTGAGAATAGTAAGCTAGCAAACCAACCTCAAATTATCATTCATTGCCATGCTGGTTCTCCCACATGATTTTCTGAGGTAACTTCTTGGAAAATATCAGTTTTAAAAAAATCCAGATATTCTTGGAAAATATAATTCTGTCAAGAAGTCGTTCACCCTGAAGGAAAACTAGGCTCAGTCTGTTCAGGCACTGGTGGCGCCCTGGGCTAACACCAGTGACGAAGATGACGTCTTTGAATTTAGTATTGCTGCTGAAAACTGGATTTGTCTTCTGGATTTTAGGCTGAAACAGTTTGGCAGTTAATCAGATCGAAGCTATTGATTCAGTCATTTTTCAGGTGAAATACTAAACGTTCTCCAACCGTAATGTGAGGCTTTTTTTTTTTGCAGACAAAATAACCAATAATTAGTGTTTCAATTTAGGCTTTAACGTACTCTGGTGCTTTAATAGGTTCAAAGTTTACATACCGGGCTCACACATTGGAAGTGTTTGGTGTACAAACAGCGCACAGAGGAGCCCACAGAAACGCCTTGGCGAAGTGGAAGCTCCACCCAAATCTCCAACAAATTGTAGACAATGAGGGAATTACTGGCTACATGTGTAGGTAGAGTGTATCCAACCTGTGGTAAAACACAGCAAGTACAAACTACACACCCTTAAAAAAAGGACTGTGCATCCAGTAGGACTGATGTAACAGACACGCTCCTGTTTCTGTTACCTGTGCACCAGTTTATATTTGGAGAAGTACAAAGATAGAGCCAGGCCACCTGTTTCCTCTTGCGTCCAGTGTTTGTGATGGTAAGATCCAGCTACATAATTACTTTTAAGGCAGCAACTAACAACCATTTCCTTTATTGAATCATCTGCAGATTGATTTTAGATTCATCACTTGTCTATCAAAACACTAAGTCATTGCTTCACAACTTCCCAGAGTCATACATTGTCAGGTACTAAAGTCCAAATACACAAACACAGAGCTATGACAAAGTATGTGAGGGGCTGGAATAAGAATATTTGGTCTTGCTTAACTGTTGTGTTGATTAAGAAGTGACAATCAATGATCAAAGTTTTCTTTGACCTGCAGTGTAGAGGTCATGTGCTGTGGTGTTAGCTGTTGACAGATGCATGACCTTTCTTCTACTTCACATATCCCATCCTCCACCCTCCTTCTCCACTGTGTGACCATGTGACTTGGAGTGTACAGTTTCGTTGGGGGGGGGGCGGGGGGGGGGGGGGGGGGAAGCCCCCCCCCTGTCAATCTTGAAAAGAAAAAAAAAAGTTAACCATAAAATATAATAAATGTTAATA